CACCGGATCCTCCACGTCAGGCTTCACACTACATGGACATTCCGCGAGTGAGCATCGAAGCAGTGTTTGTGTAGGCCAAAACCAGGCAAATCCAAAAGGTGATGGGGGGTCCAAGATTTTAGGACCTAAACTACTGTCCAAACTGAGAGCACATCATGACTCGGCAAGGTCATGTTGGTGACGGACTCATACTTGTTTGTTTGGATGTCATGAAGCATCTAGGATCATCTAAGTTGTTCGTTGGGTCGGGTGGCATTTCCTTTCAACACGATCCTGCCGTTTCGGTGTAGGTTGCTGCCCCGCAAGGAAACTCCAGTGGCTTTGAGTCCAGGTAGAGTCCAGTTGGTAAAAGGAGATACCGATACCCAACTACGCAATTGAACGTTTCTCTGTTTGTGTTCATACCCAGGCATGCTTGCACTGACCTCCAAACTCCCTCCACAATGATTGGACATCAACATCAACACCTGCTTTTTCCTGCGTGTCTTTCAGCCTCAACCATAACCAGGGTTTCGGGGGGGGGGGCATCACCAACAACGCCAAAAACTACTGTCGCCCCAGGCTTTACCACGTGGAACGCATGCGTAGCAGACGCTTCCATGAGCTGACCTTGCAAGCGGTGCACGACCAGCAGCGTGCGCGCTACGACCCCACCTGCCTTCGGGAGATGCTCGCACTCGCGGGCGTGAATGAAGTCGGAGAGGTTTTCCTAAAACAGTGTGGTCAAACAGTGTTGGACCAGTGTGGAGAGGTTTTGGCAGCCTTAACCCTTACCCTAACCCTTGTACGGTAAGGGTTAAGGCTGGGTTTTGGGGTGCTCATGGATGCTGTGCTACTCGTGTCGGGAGTCCACCCAACAGTGTGGGCACTTCCCAGTGACCTTCTCTCAATAAAGGATGAAACGATCTGAACCTGGGTCCTGTTCAGGATCACTTGGAGGAAGGGATGTTTTTGAATATTATATATATATATATTTGGTGTGTCCTTTCTTCGGTCTCTTTCATTTAATGGACTATTTTGTTAGAACCTGCCAAAGACCCAGCCAATAAAGGGCTTATATAACATGTCAATTCTCCAGTTTCATGCTCCAAAGCACCGTGAATTTCCTGTGCGACCAGGGACCTGCCTTAGGATCAAGGGTGCTGCAGTGATTCGTGGTTTCGCAAGCAGGACCAGTCGATCATCAACACCCTTCATTCCTTCAGGCGCGGCGCCCGGCCGTGCTCTTCGGGTGCGCTTTCCTTTTGCAATTACACTCCCTGGAATAATCAAGAGATCAAGAATCCTTATTCCCTTCCGTGAAGTCTCTACACTCACTGGAAGAATCATGGTTCACTACGTGGATTCCAATGGATGGCAAAAGGCCCCCCGAAAGAATCTGACATGATCTGCGTGTTGAAATCGACTCCACTCGTCGTAACCATGATTCTTCCAGGGACTCTAACCATCTTGTGCGGAGACGTCATAGAGGCCTGGGAATGCGCATAGAGATGATGAGTTGCTTGATGATGTTTGTTGTTGGGCAGGTGGGTATGGTGTTTTGGAAGTCAAGATCATACATTCATCAGGGCCTTATTGTTGTTGATGTTTCTTCTCTCCGCTGTCGCAAGGTCTTGAGGGCAAAACAGTACATGAAAGCCATACTTCTTGGTTGGCCTTGAAAACACCAGAGACGATCTCGAACGCAGAGCTGCGTTGTGTGCAGGGAGGAGTTTGGATATCAGGGGCCGAGTCCCGTGATGATCTTGCCCTGTGCATGGTCAGTGTCTCTTGGCAGATCTATACAGATCTCAGCGAGGAAGGCAAGAGAAAGAGTTAGAGGAGAATTGATCAAAAAGAACAGGGTAACGACGGTAACGGCGTTGAATCTTCGATCCAAGGGGGGTATGGTCAGGTAATCTTGGTCGATGAATTGAATTGACTGCTTGGCGGCTTGGCCTTTGTTGTATTTTGTCCAAATGTTTGAAAACAAACAGTGTGAGATCAAACATGGACTAGCCATGACTAGCCAGAATTTGGTCCAAGCCCTGCGTCGCTGGGCGCTTTGCCTCCCAAGAGATGGATTTTGGATGATTTTGGGACCTTCCCATGCCGATCCAAATTGACCCAATCGAGGGAAGATGATGACTTCCGTTTTTCCAAATTTCCAGGTGCATCATCTGTTCATTTCGGGGAGATTGGGGGAGGAGTTCTTTGGCTTTGGGTCAAAACCCGGAGCTCCGAAAGACTGCCAGGTGGACCTCCCTGGTAATCTACAGTATTCTTTTAATTTCATGGGTCAGGTTCCGAGGATTGTCTGGTTTGAGTCACCGCCACATCATGCCACATCAATTGATTTTTTAATGTGTGCCCCGACCCAGGTTTCCAACGACCGAGTGGTTGTCTTACTGGAATAGCCTCGCAACTGCAGATTGAGAGTCGATCGGGTTGGAACTGTCAATTGCATGGGTCATTGAACTACAACAAGTCATTGTTGTTTGTGGTCGCCCGGAGTAGGAGCATAGTAGGGAGGGATAATAATAAGGAACATCATGTGTGTTTGTTGCCTGCATCTTGCGGCCGGAGTACCATGGAGGATCACAACCAACAGCAAAAAGGGAGAGCACGGAGCATTGACTAATATGAGGGGTATCATGTACGTCACACGTTTTATTGATTATCAATAAAGCCATGTAAGCGCATTTCAATGCCTCTTTCTGTATATCCATTGGGGGTGTCCCATTACTTGTAACAGTCGGTAAAACAAGTATCACTATTTTAGACCAAGGCCTTTACTAACCGTTACTAACCATCATCATCATCATCATCATCATCATCATCATCATCATCATCGTCATCGTCATCGTCATCCTCATCATCATCATCATCATCATCATCCACTTTTACAGGGAATAAGATATATCCAACACATATACACACTTCCTTACTTAACACATCGTGTCCACACACTAGGGACTACAAGGACTTGGGTCATGGGCTACAGGGCTCCAGCACTCCACTGCTGCCATGTATTTCTTCGGCATGGTGCCTCTGCCCAGCGTCCGCGCCAACGGCCAAAGTGTAGGGCCTAGACGAGCGGAGCAGAGCTCAAAGTCTTGGTGACTTAGATATGAAAGAGCGAGTTTCATGATTCAGCACCACCCCACTTGGGGGGTGGGGTCTAGAAAGCACCCTGTAGGTGATAAACTACCCTTTGGGTGGTGCTGGATGTGTCCACCTCATTTGAACTGGATGCGGTGGATGCGGAAAGGTTCAGGGTAGGAGCACTTCTGGATGTTTTTGTGTGTTTTGTGTTTGAACCAGGGAGTGCCAAGTCAGTACTGCGGTGCTGAGGTGAGTGTTTATGAGTTTTTTCTAGAGGTCAAAAGACACGACATGTAGGATGGTTTCTAGAAATTGCATGGAATTGCAAATTTGCTGCATATTTCTACGGGGTTTCAACAGGGGACATCTCACTGATTTGCAACAAAAGTCTTCAAACATCCCAGGAGAGGCAGATGGACTACGACTACCTTTCACTGCAACCACGAGACAGCCTTCGGCTTCACGAAATCGCAGCCTGGACCACCTTTTGCTGGCCTCCTGGTGGTGCTGGGCCTGTTTCGCCTTCGAGAACAGAGGAGTTTGAGACGAGTTCGAGAAGAGAGCTCAGCGAGGTGGGAATGAATCCGACATTCACCGTGTGGGAAAAATGGTGGTTTGCCTCTACAAGGAGCAAAGACAAAAGTTACACTCCCTGGAACTAACATGGAAGTGGAGAATGGCCCCTTGGAAGACCATTTTCCACTACAAACAGGTGGTTTTCCACTTCCATGTTAATTCCAGGGAGAGTACAGTCTTTTGCTCGGCAATGAAGGTTGTTTGGCCTGGGAAATGCAAGGCATTTGACAGCTCCCCACACTAGGTGACAAAATATACATATATATATATATATTATATATATAATATATACATGTTTATTTGTTTCGGGAGCCCCCACCAAGAAATATATATATATATATACATATAAGTTAAAAGGTGTGAAGTGTGTCATCCAGAAATCAAAAAGGATTCACCCTGTCCACCGATGAGGCTTTCGGAGTTTTTGAGATCCATCTCCAGGTCCAAAGGCCGCAGAAAGATGGAACTGGCGGATGCTGAACTGGCGGATGGATTGGTGCAGCAACTATGCCAAGCAGCGGCTGAAAGACACCTTGATGTGTTGAACTGTGTTTTCTTGGACATGGCCAGATACCTGTAGAAGCAGTAGGAGCAGAGGAACTACCCCCTATCAAGATATTTGAAGATACTGGTGTAAGTGTTGGCCTTACTTGTCTCCAGAAGTGGACGGCTCGTGCGGCTACCAGAAGTCGGCTCGACTTGCGGTGCGTACCTTACCCGTACGTCACAAAAGCCATGTGTTCATGTTTGCCGTTTGCCGAAACTAAGGAAATCTTGAAGACTCTCTTGCAACAATTTTGCTACCAGAAGTGCGGCGCTCGAAAACACTTCTTGGGCCTGTCTTGAGGGCATTGTGCCAGCAAAAGGCCGCCGCAAAGCTGGTGTATGCTACTTTGGAAACTATCCGGGAAGATGGTAGCATAGAGCTCACTCAGCCAAATGTCACAATTGGAATATCCACCTGTGCCAGGGAAAGACTGTGGCAGCAAGCATTGAAGTTGTTTGAGGCCATGCCCAAGGCAAAAGTTCAGGCCAACGTGTTCAGCTACAGTGCTGCCATCAGTGC